TGATCCTCTTTGGAGCTACAAACCTACACTACACAAAATTGTTATAGCTGAACTGTACGCTTCTCTGGCCTGCTTCTTTCAGCTGAAAGTTCTGCTCCTAGAGAGGTGTCCTCAGGTCAAGCAAATACAAGATGATCTTCCCAATAGGCAACGCCAATTATTGCAATTGTTTTCCTCCTCACCAACTTAATTTTTTCATGTCACAAGATCAGAATTCCTAATTGAGTGTCAGCACTACTTTGGGATAAACCTAAAAATCTCCTTATTGAGTTTCTTTGCTTCTCCTCTGCCTTCCTCAGCAGGCCTAAGAAGACTGGCCCGAAAATGAGACTAGTCAGCAAACTTCCTGAATTCTTCCAGCTCAGCCTTGCTGGCCTGAGAAACACGAGCTACCTGCAACATGAGCATGCCTGTTGTCTGCAACAATGAACATGCTTTTGAAAATAAAGCAAAACCAATGAACAACTAGGGAAGCCAAAAATCAGGAAAATAGCTTATGATCAGCTTTGTATAAGCTTTACATGTATGTCAACTATGCTAAAGGAGTCAATATTCAGAAAGTACTAAGAGCTGAAATATGGAACAAGTAACTTGTTTATACTTTTAGTCTTTGAAAGCTGAGCTCAAAGACTTTTAAATATGAATACAGATTAATACAGCTTAAATTGGTTCAGTGACTGAACAATCAGGGTCATGTCAGATTTTTATGAGCACATTTCCATGAAAAGAATCTCACTACCTTTGTCTTCTCACTCAAATTTGTATTTCTTCATAATTTCTTTTCACAGGTCTAACAATCACATCTTGCAACTGGTATCAAATCCACACAAAATGCTTGTGTCACTTGCAAACTTGTTCATCATTTGAACTACTACCAAATATGTTTTGTTTTGTTTTTTAACTTTTTTTTATTTATTTTACTCAATTTACTCATTTCACTTAGTGGGTTCATCACTTTCCAACATTAAAAAAATGTTTGAATCCATAACACAGGCTTGTTTGTCACATCAGAATAGATCCTGACTGAAAGTTGCTGGCAAAGAATGCACAATCCAACTCATCTGACAAAGTAGCTTATTTTTTTAATGAGCTCAGAATTTGAATTCACTGCAGAAGGTCCAAAGACTATGACTATATTGGCACTAGTGAAATAGCAGCAGATTTGAAACAGTTGGTGCAGAGTACCTTAAACATACACACAGGAGGGCAAAGGAGTATTTCTGACTAGATCTCCTCTGACTATGAAGACTGAATTTCAATCAGCAGTTTTGCATCTTCCTATTTTGTTTCTGTTTAACGCTTGAATCCTCAGGGATTGCTCACTGATGGAAGCAGAGCGTCCGAAGTGGCAATGGGCAGATTCACTTCAGAAGTGCATTTCTGATCCAAGTTAAAACGTTAATGCAGTTATATCCATATAAAACCAGTACTTCTTATTTACTTGATGACTTTATTTTCTTTTAGTCAAACTGAGCACATCCACAACTTAATACAGATTTCTTAAGCATACAGAATGTATTTCAGGAAATTTAAATACCTCAAAAACATGAGGTCAAAGATGGTAGAAAGTTAAAACACATTGTGTATGCTTAAAATAGCTTTTCTACTAATAAAGTCCTTAGGCATGCATTGAGGTTACTCTGAGGCTTTTCATAACAGTCATTTCATCAATAATAAATTGAATGATACAATGTGCATTTTTTCTAAAAAGGTTATAAATAAATATAAAGGAGACTCTTCCATTTAAAAAAAAAAATCACTTGCAGATATCTTTTTAATGACCTTAGTTTTTCTAATTTAAATTCTATTATTATGTATCATTAGAATTCCAAGCAGGCAGATTTGGTCTACATGAAGGGTGGATGTGGGACAGGCCTTTTGTGGCACAATTAACAGTGTTCCTTTCAAGGACAACGTCACAGAAGGTGAACACTAATTTTGCTAATATGGTAAAGGAGGATAAATGACTCTGGGAAGGAAGGAAAGGAAAAATAAACTATATAGCATAATTGTTTTTCTGTGAAGTTCTCTGTCATATTTAACTTTCACTTTCTAAATAGGTTATTACAGGAACAGCAATTTGCCCAAAAAGATTAAAGATTGCAGTAGTCAAAGACTACTTTGCAGCTGTAAGAAGGAAAACAGGAAAAACAGTCTCTGCAGATGTCAAACAAATTTTAAGGATAAGATCAAAGATACTCTGATACTAGCACATGATGCAGAAAATACCCCCAACCCTAGATGTCAGAGCACATATGCCATTTCTGAAAATAACAAAATGTCCCCACTTCTCCATACAAATGCCAGAGCTCTATGCCAATTAAAAAGGAAAGCTCTTAACACTCTTTTCCTTAATTCTGAAGTACTGTTCTACAACAAATAACTTTGATGAGATGAGAACTATAGTCATCATAAAATCATAGCTAAGACCAAAAGGTACAGCAAAACACAACAGTTTAAGTTGTCTAGCTAACACCTCTGTCAAATCTTTCTTACTTGGTTCAAATTGTTGGCTGTGAAGCACAAAGTGCATCCTTTATACAGTTCTCAGTTACCGTATTAGTAGCTATCAGATCATATTTCATATATTCTTGAAAGCCTATATAAAATATGTGATACATAAATACATAAACATATACTTACATATATGTATGTGTATATATATATACACAATAAAGTTTCCAGTCACCAAATACTCTTTTTAGCACTGTCAGTATGACCATGACAATCTTTTCCATTACTGCTCATAACCTATCAGTATGAAAGCTGAGGAATTTATGAACCCTATAGGAAATACACGCACATACTGAAGACTGACATACAGTAGCACAAAGTATGTAATTTCACCAAAAAAATGCAGCCAGAGTGATACGATTTTATGAACAGAGGCTGATTATTTACAGCACTTTGGAAACCTGAGTTAGTAAAAAGTACTTTTTCACTGCAAGTCCTATCACCCACAAACTGCTCATAAAACCAGCATTCTCCTAGAAGAAATTCTTGTATTTTCTCTGGTTTTATTTAATACTAAAACTAACTCAGATGAATAAGTCTGGAGGGTCTACTTCATTTTTCCCCTGAAAACAGACAAAAGAAAAACTGACTTTGCAGCCAGTGACAGTATTAGAGACAGAGAGAAAATAATAATAATAATAATAATAATAACAACAACAACAACAACAACAACAATAACAACAATAATAATAATAAAGCCTTAGAAAATGTCCTCCATCAGTTTGTATGGAGGTTATGCTGTGTTTGGCTGCAGTTGTGGTGTTAAAGACTCAGGCCGAAAAGACTCACCACACAGTCATATGTGTCTGCATGGTTATCATCAAATGATTTTTAGACACCCACTATGTGCATTTACACCTAAAAGCATACGGGGTTAACTAAAAAAATGAAGAAAAGATCTGGAAACTTATTTGTGAGAGTGTTTCTTTAATTGTTTAAGTACTAGAAAAAATCGTTGACTATACATTCTCACTGAAAACAATGCATAAATAAAAACCTAACTCTATCCAAAAAATGTTATCATAATGAAAGAGAAATGTCAGGAACACAGAAGCTCCTTGCCTTCAAAGTAAATAACAGACAATGAAGAGATGGCATTTTCCAGGCCTGTTTAACCTCAACAGAGAAAAACTAAGAATAACCTCTGTTATTATTTAGTGCATAGTAACATGTTGTATTATCATTTTACGTTTCCTAAAATAGCAATGCTTTGAGAGTACGTATATTATACAAATTCAGGCGAAAATAGCTAGAAATCAGAAAGAACACTGAATATCTAAACCAGATAGAGAATAAAAGAATTTTACCAGATAAAAGAATTTTACAAATAACCATAGAAAGATTTCAATGCAGGGTTGACAACCATTTACTTTTAGCTTAAACAATTTATATCAAAATAAAACTATATGCACATCAAAAATAGTCATAAGCTTTCTTATATATTCAAAGAATTTAAGCAATATTTTATATTGAATAAAGTCTCAACTCTGTAATTACAATGACATTAACCAAAAATGTGTATTTAAAAAGTCATTCTTTAAATTTTGAAAGTATATGTAATAGGTAAGCACAGATAAGTATAAAAAGCATTAATTTTGCGAAAGGGATTATGCTTTAGTTTCTTAGCATTATTACTGGTAAAGAACGAGGAGCTTGAATTAGGAAACTAACTGTATTTTTTGCTATGCTTTTGAAAATTTTGTAGAACAAAGAATGTGCTTTACATATGCTTGAAACTGGTATGGTTATTTATTTATTTATGTTTTTCAAGAACAGATGTCTTACTCTTAGTTGAAATAGAAAGACTTAATTGAAAGGAGTTGACTTATGAATGAAGTACCAACTGCAAAACTGTTGGAAGAAGGCAAGGACTCTTTAAGCTTTCTAAACAGTTGCATGTTTTAATATTTCCATCCTTTTTCATTCCTCTCCTGATAGCCATTCTACTATGGCTTACTGATGAAAAAGTGCAATTTTATTTCAAGTTTGGAATAACTCTGGCAGATACAGACACTGTTTCCGTGTCTGTATCAATACCTTGTATCTGAGATATAAAATAGTGGCAAAAGTCTGAGTTACCATAACTCTTCCAAATTCTGCGAGAATTTTACCACTTAAAGAACAACATTTGATTCAAGAAAAAATCTTCATTACAACTTCATGGGCAATGAAATACTTGTCTCAGTTACTTGTTCGGTAGTAAAATCCAAATGGAAAACCAAAAGCAGAGAAAGGAAAACTGCAAGGATGTTTTGTGAGACTGAATGCCATTACTCAGGACAGTAAAGATTTATTTTAAGAATCAGGACAAAGTGTTACTTTTAAGGAACGTGTTATGCAGAGCAGAGGATGAAAAAGCGCAAAAGAAAAGAACAATGATGAAGAATGAAAAATCTTTCAAGTTGCGTAGGAATATGTTTTATATAATAGTACAACCTCCTCAAGTACTTTCAGTTACATAGAGTTCTTGGAATGTATGCATTTACCTTAACAACAGGATTCAGCAGAACAACACCTGATTTCTTTGTAATAACTTGCTTTGTTGTATAATGATGTTCTATGAGTTGAGGAATAGTTGGAAACCCAGTTCCTTCAAAACGATATTGATTCTGTATGGAGGTAAAAGGAAATAATTGTTTCTCTACAAGCAAAATTTCAAACAACAAACTGCAAAAGAGCATTATAAAGCTTCCTTCATTAGTAACAGAGCAAAAGTGTTTCATTTTACAAAATAAGATTTCTGTCCTAATCTATTTCAACAGTATTTCTACCAAATTAAATGGAATGACAGTAAGAAACATAAATTAATAAATGCAAAATTAGTGTATCACGCACTTACAGCAACATAATAAAAGAATTACTTGTTTAAAATCTTAATTTGAAGGAAAAAAGAAGCTTTTGCACTTCAAAAGATGGGACTGTTTGGGATACTCAAACTGTGACAGTAACATAAAAATAATATAAACTTCAAAAAATATAATTAAATTTCTAAAGCCCTAAAGCTCTAAAATTACAGGAAAAAAAATAAAACAAGCATCAGACAATAAACTAAACAGGGGATAAGAAATACTGTTTTACTCAGATCTTACTGCACTTACAACGTTGTGTAAAACTAATAAATTCTAGCACAGTGCATGACCAGCATTATCATTTACTAAGAAGCGTGTGCTAGAGGAGACTAGAGCTGTACTGGTGCTAAAAACAGAGGCAGGTTACGCATATAATCCACAGAGAAAATTCTACCAAGACAAAATTCCACCCCCTCCTCCCCAGCCCTCCATCCTTGTCAATTGATTTCATTTTAGCTACATAATTCAACACAATTAAAATAATTAAATATCTTAATATTTTACTAGAAGAATGAAAGATGATCTTAGGAAAGAATACTATGACATAGCATTCTTCAGCTATCAGGAGGGTGGGGAAAAAACAAAGTATATTCATTGCTTATCCTTGCCCTGATTCTTGATGGGAAGAAACAGTAAGTGCTTATTTCCAGATGGAGGAATGGCGCTATGTCCACACTGTAACAAGTGCTGTCCTTCAGGGGTCTGTCTTGGGACTGGTGCTATTTTTTAACTTTATCACTGACACAGACAGTGGCATCGAGTACACCCCCAGCAAGTTTGCAGATGACACCAAGCTGAGTGGTGCAGTTGATACAGCAGAAGGAAGGGATGTCATCCAGAGGGACCTGGACAGGCTGGAGAAGTGGGCCAACAAGGTTCAACACGGCCAAGTGCAAGGTGCTGCACCCGGGTCAGGGCAATCTCAGACATGAGAACAAACTGGGAGAAGAGCTCACTGAGAGCAGCCCTGCAGAGAAGGACTTGGGGGTTCTGGTGGATGAAAAGGTCGGCATGAGCCAATTGTACACACTTGCAGCTCAGAAGGCCAACTGCATCTGGACTACATCAACAGAGGAGTGGCCAGCAGGTCCAGGGTAGTTACTGTCCTCCTCAGCTCTGCTCTTGTGCAGACCCTGGAGTGCTGCATCCAGGGCTGGAGCCCCCAGCACAAGGAGGATGTGGGGCTGTTAGAGAAGGTCCAGAGAAGGGCCATCAAGGTAATAAGAGGGCTGGAGCACCTCTCCTATGAAGATGGGCTGAGAGAGCTGGGGATGGTCAGCCTGGGTAAGAGGACGCTCTGGGGAGACCGCATTGCAGACTTTCAGTCATTAAGGAGGGCTTATAAAGGAGATGGAGAGTGACTTTTGCTCAAGCAGATAATGACAGGATAAGGGGGAGTGGTTTTAAACTAAAAGAGGGGAGATTTAGGGTGGTGAGGCACTGGCACAGGTTGCCCAGAGAAGCATCCCTGGAGGTGCTCAAGGCCAGGCTGGATGGGGCTCTGGGGAGCCTGTTCTGGTGGGAGGTGTCCCTGCCCATGGCAGGGGGTTGGAGCTGGGTGATTTTAGAGTCCCTTCCAGCCCAAGCTATTCTGTGACTCTATGATTATTTTATCCTCCTCCATGTTTTAAAATGCACATTGCAGCTAGGTGACTGGGATACAGGGTTAAAACCTGTGCCTCATTATCGAGAGTTAGAGAACTCTTCACAGAAGACAGGAACTGCCAGAAGCCATTCTGAAGACTGGCAAGAGCAAACAAATACTGCATAATTCAAAAACAACAGCAACACAACCCTAAAGCACAGGCAGTGATTCAAGTTCATTTACACAACTGGGCAATGAAACCTGTACCACTGACACACAGGTTTTTTCTTTCTAGCTACAGGGTTAACTTCTTTACAAAGCACATTGTAAGGTCCTCTTTCTTTAGGTTAAAATTCAACTTTCTGAAATGTGTTATTACTCCTAGTAAAGACAGCTTGGTCATGTCACCTATTTTTAAAATTCCTGGTTCTCTATCATAAAACTGCTTTCATGGTTTGAACACTTTCTGTTGTTTATTCCTTTAACTTCATTCAGTTACTAGATACTGGCTCAACTTTTATTGACCAGTAACTTTAGTTTCCATTCCTTTCAAATAACCTCTCTTACATTTTTGTTCTGATGACCCAAAAAACCCTACGTCCTAAGACTAGGGCCTAGCAAATTAACCAGCACTCATCTCATATCCAGCTGTGCACCCAACTGCTGCCACTGATCTAAGATCTTCAGGGTGAAGAGCACTCCTTTATTCAGTGCACTTACACACGATTATGACCATTATTAAGATCATCAACAAACAGCAATGTAAAAATAGCATAGCCTCCAATAAAAACAGTGAAAAACAACAGCAGCCTTGAATGCCTAATGGATTTTGGTAATGATTTTTGATGCTTAAAGCTGAACAGTGAGCTCATTTATCTCATACATACTTTTATTAGGATTTGTATTTAAAATATTGATAAAATCAGAAACAACACTTATGCAGTTAAAGGACAACTGATAAACAAGTATATATCCTGCTCCACCCTGCAGTCTCTGATTCAGAAGAAAAATTGTCAACAGACACCAAAGCTGACAGTGATCCAACAGTGAGATCTGACCAGTCAGAAACCTGATTTCACACTGTTAATACCAATGTAAATAAAATAAATTTTAAAAACATGGACTAAACTCTCATCAAACTCACCAAATGTTAATGAATTAATTCCCTCTTGTCATATGACCGTAACAGCCCCACTATTTACCTCCTTTTTCATGCTAAAAGGCCTTTTCTCTTTTTAAAACATAAGCCTTTTTTTTTTTTTCAATAAATGCAGAAAATTCATCCCACAGGAGTGCATAAAGAGTTCTACATTTCTTTAATGTAAGTTTTAGTTTTCATGATTGTCAACAAAATCATCCCCAAATACATCCCAAAAGCAGATTAATACTTTTATTACTAATTTAATACTTTTATTACCCTATTACTAAATGTACAAGCAGGCAGAGCTAATGACATCAGGATGTTTAGACTGTTCCATCATGAGGTATGCAACACCAAACAATGACATTTCAAATATAATTCCTAAGAGAAATTAATGAAATTATGAGAATAAAGGTAGCTTTGTTATTTTTTTTATGGAAAAATGGATACAAAAAATTCATCTTCCAGATAAGGGTGGCCTCAAATTAACAGTCATTAAAATAGCCCATCTAATTGACTTCAAAGGACAATTTTTTTCACAGGTCCACTTGCCACATACCACGATTTACACAAAATGATTTCAGCCACATCAAGTATATAATGTGCATTATAATTCGGCTAAGAATCGGAGAGCTCCAAGCATCTTTTAAGATACTGTGTGTCTAGGTATATGTAGTTTTATTGCTCTTATTTTTCTGTCTAGCACACTGATACACCAAAATACTTCAGGGCTATAAAAATCAAAATAAACACTGACTTTGTGTCAAGGTTCACTTTTATGAACAGAACAACACCCACAGGGCTAAAAAGAAACTCAAGCATCTCCAGAGCAGCAGGGGCTTCAACTGTTAACTGTATAGAAACTAGCAAATTATTTTTTCCTCAATGAACATTTTCATTTTTTTTCAGTAAGATTCAATTAGAGGTATTAAAAGTAGCCTAATTAGTACCAAGTATGAAAATGGGTTTAAAAATAAATAAATGTACATGCATAAATTAGTAATAACAAGCTCTGGATTTCATAACATTTACAGAAATTTGTCTTCTCATTATAGGATTAAAGAGGTAGAATAACCTCATACTTCATATTTTTCTTTTATTTCCTAAAATAACCTTTTCCCCCTGATTCGAGCACTGATGGCAATATTACCAACAGCTTTCATATTTTCATATAAAGGCTAAAACCACATGACATAATAAATTATGTAGATCCTAAATCATTTAGCTGGAATAATAAACTTCCTAAAATTGAATATTTAGTACTATAGCAGAGACGTACATCAGCATATTGTATGATAAAGTGTCTCCGTTGTCCATCTGAAAACACAGAAAGGACATATTCACCAGGTTTCCCGTTGCTCTCTCGCACCAAGAAGTCTCCTTGCTGCTTTAACAGCTCCTGGGCTTCTATTCTTGGAATTGCACCATGATACCAGTCTTGCTCTGCCAATGGTTTCTCAGTGGTTGATATTACATCAAAGAACTTGGGAAAAATATTGAAGAAAAACGTTACTATAACAGTACATTTTTAGAGTTTACTTTTATGTGAAAAGCATGACAGACAACATTAATCTCTATTTCTATATCTAAATTATGTATTTCTATTCACAAACAAAATCAAGGCTCTTACATTTACACAAAAGGGATACTAATCACATTTTTTTCTGTTACCTAAAAAAATAAATCTGCATATACAAAAAGCACAACTTAATGGAAATATCCATTAAAACATATATTAATTTTCACTTGGCCCTGCTGTTTTTCGTAATCCATACTGTCCAACAATGAGCAGTGACTCTTCCTCACTCTTTCTTAAATGTTCTGAAATACTATAAACAATAATTCAAAATTAAGCATTTCTTTATATAGAAACTTCTGAGACAAAACCATAAGAAACTGAATTTTAAAAAAGCATTTGAATTGGATAACTTGTTTTCATACAGTTTAAAAACCTCACACTAAATCAATCAATAATTCTAAGAAACATATTTCCCAGCATTTACATGACAGCAGGGGATAGACACCTGGGCATACTGTGCTTATGAAGTTGCACTGAGTTTCTGCAAGTATAATGATCATAAGATACTGCTTTCACCCGCTGTAAGCAGAAGGTAATGAGTTTTAATTTGCTGTTTCCCCTAAAAATCTGAAAAAAATCAGTAAAAATCTGAATAAAATAATACACTACGTATTGCATCAGGAGTTGAATTATATATGAGTGTGTTCCATGCAAACCTGCTGAAACACATTTTAGGTAACAGAAAGAAGATGCACACCTCAGTTAAGGCCCAGGTAGCAGATACAAACAAATTATTTTGACTGATACTCTGCTATTGCTCTACTCTGATGAATCAGGTTGGTTTCTTTTTCTACTCTAAGCAAGGATGATATGATATTTCCTTCTTGGGGAAAGAGAACAGAAACACTCCGCTAGTACATGAAAGAAAAAAATGACATTATAAATCTGGGCATGGTAGAGGGCATCTGCAAATTTATTGTCTTCTTGAAGAGATACTCAGGTCAAGATGACCCAGCTAATCAAAGACAAAAACACTACGAGTCCTCAGAGAGGAAATAAATAGACCTAAAAATGGAGTCTACTGAGAACTTGTTTCCAAATATATCAGCATATCCAAATATGTGAGCATTTGTGAGCATTTCCAAATTTATGAGCATTGAGCCAAGCCCAATTTTTGAGCATTTAATGAGTCCCTGGTATAAAACATGCCTTTGTCTCTAGGTTTATGGCTATCTTTCCAAGTCATATCTCGAGAGATATAGTTTATCTAGTCCAGAAACCTCATAGAATACAGGAGAGCGTATTTAAGAGTCTGACTGGGCCTCATTATTCTCAGACTTCAAAACTGGTTATCCAAAACCCTGGGGTACCTCTTGTATCAGGGATTGTTTCAGACATGAGATTTGAGGCTAAAACAGTTACGAGCAAACCCATCACTAGAAAGAGTGAGCAAGATTGATTACAAATTCACAGCTAAGAAGGACCATGTAAGAAAAAAATAACAGCTTGAACAGAAAGATAACAGTTTGTAAGATCAAAAGGTGTACTCCAAGGTACTGTATTTATTTGCATAATGAACTACTAAAAACCCAGAATATTGTTTGGCCAAGAAAGCAGTCATTTCAATTCCATCAACAGTTAAATACTTCTTAGATTAGAGCCGTATCCCACTGTTAAATAACACTAAGCTATTCTCTTTCACAAATTCCTAACACAAAAAATAAGTTTTCAGAGTATTATAAAAGGTTATTTACTTCAACTTTTTTTTTTTTTTTAAGATGCTGAGTTTGACTCAACAGGAAAAAAAAAATTCTAACCTTTGCTAAACTATCAAGAAATTTTAGGGGGCTGAAGGTAGCAAAGCCTTTGCCACATAAACACATTTCTACCTCTAGGGAAATGTTTCTAAGGATAAAAGGACAGTTCAGGGTCAATAAAATAGTTTGTAGTCCTCACAAAGGAAGGTTAAAAAAAAAGACGTAATTCATTTCATAGTTTACAGAAGAGGCAGACACCAGATAATAACACCTGCTTATGTTCAAACTGGGTCAAGTGAGTCACTGTTCAGACAAGTATGATTATACTTCAGAATAAAACACAGAAAAAGCTTATGGAAAAACAAGGGAGCATTTTAGACATTGCTAACTACAGTGCTGTTTATGACACTAGGATCAACCTTCCCCTTTTTAAAATTTGTTTGAACTAATATTTCTTTCTTTAGAAGGAAACATTGAAAATCCCAAAATGTAGCCTGTGCTGATTGTCTCCTACCTTCCCTTGTCTTTATTTTTTATCTTATGCCAAGGGTCAATCATAACCAAGCTAAAAAAAAAATGTATTTTCTCTAATGAAACAACTGGTAATTATTAATGTTTTGAATGTTATTGAAATTCTTTTATTTTTATGAACAAGTCTCCCTGTTCCAAGATACTTTCTGTATGATTCCATATTCACCTTGACTGGCTTTGAAAGAAAACATGGCTGAAAGCCCGGAAAGAACAGAACAAGTGTAAGATATCTAATCATTTTAATATTGATTTCAGCTCAATTTACCACTTAGCTCTAATGTTTATACTGCACTTTGTAGTTAGAATTAAATGGTTTAAACATAAGAAAGGTTAGTCTTTAAAAATGATAGAGTGGGAAAAAAAGCTACCTTTTAAAAAATAGTTTACGATTCCCATCTCTTTTCTTAGTAGTTTAAAGATCAGGAAGCTACTGAATTTGATTAACCAGATACATAGTATCTAGCTGAGAACAAATACGAACTCTAAGCCCCAGTGTTTTACAATTTCACTTTGGGGACGAGATGTTTTGCACATTTATTTATACACAGAAGCACTGTCAAAGGAGTGTTTCAGCGGCATAAATTGAATGTTTTTTGTTGTTGTTTGATTGTTTGTTGTTTGTTTTGTTAGTTTCAACAGAAGTTAACAATAAGCAATTAACAAAATCACACGGAAGGAAAGGAAACCACACTGAAACATTTTTACTTTCCCTCCCAGCCTCCTGTTTTTCTTGTTTTCTTTTTCCTTCAACATTTTAATTTATTTCCATAGTTTGCTCATTGGTTACTTTGGCAAAGGGATGGCCTCATATATTCCATCATACTTTTCTTTCCAAGAGGAGGGAAATACTCTCATATCAATCATGCTCGTTCTATTACTGTCCTCCTTTCTTATTGTGAACCTCCTTCTCTCCCACTAATTAACAATCCATTGAAACAGCAGTTTTTCTCCTGGAGGAAAAATCAAGCGGTCCCTAGCTGTTGTCCTTATTCCAAAGAAAAATGGAGCAAAGACTGCTGTATTATTTCTAACTTCAGAAAAAGGGAGACTATTCCTGTACTTACTCTATCAATGAAAATAAATCAATAATGAGATTAATATTTTATTAAAATAGTAGCTTACTTAAAATTGTACTTTCACATATATTCTAAGCTTAGCCTTTGTGTACTTGCTTATTTTCCATCTTTATACAAGAAAAACATTTTCCCAAAAGATTTTTTTCTCTCCAGTTTTAAAAGAGGCATGGAGAGAATAGAAAGTAAAGCAATACATTTAGCATGATAGTTTGAGACATTTCCCTGTAGAATATTCTGCCAATACTGAATCTAGCTCATTTGCATGTGCTAATATATCATACGAAACCACCACTTACTCCATCAAGGAAATGAAAATTTTCAAGTATTTCATCCTAAAACAATCCTACAACAGTAAAAAAAATGCACACACCTGAAAATTATAAGGTAAAATTAATTATACAAAAAATAAAAAGAAAAAACACAACTCTCATTTTGTACTGAGTGATGTTTTTTCTAGGATCATCATTATTAGATATGAAAAAATAAAAAATATTTTCAGTAAGGCAAACAACATGTGCAGTTACCTAAGTGGTAAAACAAAACAAAACAACCCTACCCATTTTATCTGAAGGGTAGAAGCTATGATACTATTCATTCATGTTCTTTATTCTGTTCATACATAACACAGCATTAGTGGTACAGAAAACAGTTGACCTTCTTCTTGTGTTTTCTCTCCTCATCAGATTAAACTTATGTCTCTTGCTGTTAGAGAGAAGTGGCTTACATTTTGTTCAACAGAAGCCACCTGAATTCCTAACCTTGCTGTATTCTCTTCAAAACCATATTTTTTACTGTATTATTCTCAGAACTTTCTCATTCTCGGAGCCTGTAAATAATTTAAGTGCCAACACATAAATAACAGTTAAAACTTCTGGCTGCTTGAGGAAGTACTGGGTTTCTCTACAACTAACTTCAGAAGATACAAAAAAAAACCACCTTAGTTCTCTTTAATTACACACAACATTAACTTCTCATAACCAACTATGGGTTTTTAGAATACCACCACATTTAAACCAAAATATGATTTCAATTCTAAAGTTTCAATGCACTTAAAATACACACTATGAACACAGAGTTAACATGCCTTTTTCTATTTTAAAAACATATTTTTTTATACATATTATTAATTTTATAATACACATTTTCAATAAATAGTTCGTACACTTTGATGATAGATACTAGGTTGTATATACTAGCATATACATTTAACAACCAGTAATGTTACATAATTTTCAGTGTGAAAAAGGAGAATAGCTAAACACATTAAGTGATAAAAATTAATTTGTGACATCAGTTTTGTCTGTATGTCTAGGGTTAGCTTTTCCTAACACACAACGAATTGCTAAAAACACAAAAAGCTGAAAACAGATTGGTTTGTACATAGCCTGATTTTGAAATCATTTAAGTAATAGATATTCAAGACTACTTGTTACTCAGATTTGACTATCTGCTTCAGGTCTATTCTGAATAAGTATATATAAAATAAAATATACTTGGAGTACATTTTGGAGAAATAAGATAAGAATTGATCTTATTTCAGATCTATTCTTATTCAGAATATTCTATTCTGAATATTCTTATATTAGAATAGAATATTCTAATAGAATATTCTATTCTAATAGAATAGAATATAATAGAAGAGAATATAATATATATTCTATATATATTCTATTATATTCTATAAAGAATATATATTCTATTATATTCTATATATATAGAATATATATTCTATTATATTCTATATAGAATATAGAATATATAGAATACAATAGAATAGAATAGAAGATGCTGATGGGATGAGGAGCACAAGAAGTGCTCTACTCAGTGCTCCCAGTTGGAGACTGGAGACGAGGAGGTGGTGTATGGATCAGGTGAGTGACTGGCTGTGTGGCTGGTGCCACGCTCAGGGTTTCAGGTTCTCAGCTCTCAGGAGTGCTTCCAAGAGACCCTGCATGCTGACAGGGGATGGGGCGCACCTGACCAAGTGGGGCAAGAGTGTTGTGGGCAGCAAGCTGGCCAGACTCATTACCAGGGCTTTAAATAGATTCAGAGGGGGAAGCAGATGTATCTGTAAGTGACACAAAAAAAAACACTGACTGCCAGTACTTTGGAAAACAGAGGGGAAACACCTGTGATTCATCCCATGGAAATTTGGAAGGACTCCTCTAAAAAGGCAACGTGACCCATAGCCCAGCTGAAGTGCCTCTGCACCAACGCTCGCAGCATGGGAAACAGACAGGAGGAGTTGGAAGCCACAGAGCAGTTAGAAAACTGTGATCTAATTCCTACTACAGAAACATGGTGGGACAAATAACACAGCTGGAACACTGGAATGGACGACAAGCTTTACAGGAGACAGGCAGGGAAGGAGGGGTGGGGGTGTTGCCCTCTATGTTAAGAAATGGACAGATTATGAAGAGTTGCCTCTAAGAAACAGTCAAGAGCAGTTTGAGAGCCTGAAGATACAAATAAAGGACCAGACCAACGAAGCACATCTTGTGGTTGGGGTCTACTAGAGGCCAAGGGGATCAAGGGGAGCCTGTGGATGAGGCCTTCTTGCTCCAACTACAGGAAGCGTCGTGCTCACAGTCCCTCATCCTCCTGGGGGATTTCAACAACCTGGATGTCTGCTGGGAAAGCCACACAGCAGGCAGTAAGCAATCCAGGAGACTCCTGGAACCCATGAGGACAACTTCCTTGTCCAGGCAGTGGACAAACTAACCAGTGGAGAAGCGTTACTGGGCCTGGTGCTCACCAATGGGGAAGAGATCATTGAAGAGGTTAAGATTGGAGGAAGCCAGGGTTGCAGTGACCACGTCTGTCATCGAGGGATATGGGCCTGGCAAAGAGCAAAGCCAGGACCCTGAACTTCAGAAGAGTGAAATTCCAGCTGTTCAAAGACCTAGTGGATGAGATCCGATGGGACATTGTCCTTAGGGACAGATCTGAACAGAGCTGGAAACTCTCTAATGGTATGTTTCTTAGAGTGTAGGAGTCCTCTATTCCCCCATGTAATAAATCTCTCCCCTATGAAACTCCACAGGTACACTGTAATGCACCAAAGAGAGCTTATGGCCTCTGACAAATGAAGACAGAGAACTGGTAACAACAGACTTGGAGAAGGCTGAGGTACTTAATAACTTCTTTGCCTCAGTCTTCACTGGTGGTCAGGCTTCCCTCCTCCCACAGCCCTTATCATCCTAGTTGGTGCCTTCCTGAAGAAGCGGTGTGCCATTCTGATTTCCTCTCCATCAGCATGTTACTGTTTGAGCCATTTAGCAGCAAGAAGTTGGGAGCAATGCTCATCTGTGATTCTATGATTTGACATGGTCCCACATGACATCCTAATTTCTAAATTGGAAGGTTTTGATTTGAAGGGTGGACCATCCAGTGGGTAATGAAATGGCTTGAAGGTCACACCCAGAGGGCAGTGGTCAATGGCTCTACCTCCAGGTGGAGGCCAGTGATGAGTTGTGTCCCTCCGGGGTCTGTCCTGGGACCAGCGATGTTTAGTATCTTCATCAGTGACATAGACAGCGGAACCAGATGCACCTTCAGCGTGTGTGCAGATGACACCTAGCTGAATGGTGTGGTAGATACAGCAGAAGAAAGGGATGTCATCTGAAGGGACCTGGACAGGCTGGAGAAGTGGGCCAACAAGGTTCAACAAGTCCAAGTGCAAGGTGCTGCACCTGAGTCAGGGCAATCCCAGATGTCAGAACAGACTGGGAGAAGAACTCACTGACAGCAGCCCTGCAGAGGAGGACTTGGGGGATCTGGTGGATGAAAAGCTCTGCATGAGACAGTTATACACACTTGCAGCTCAGAAGGCCAACTGCATCGTAGGCTTTATCAACAAGAGGGGTGGCCAGCAGGTGGAGGGAGGTGATTGTCCCCCTCTGCTCTGCAGAGTGGGCAGTGGGAGGTCTCACCTGGCCCCATCCAGGTCTGGGGCCCCCAGCACAAGAAGGATGTGAGGCTGTTAGAATGACTCCAGAAGAGGGCTATGAAGTTGACCAAAGGGCTGGAGCACCTCTTCTATGAAAAAAGGACGAGAGCTCTGTGGTTGTTCAGCCTGGAGAAGAGAAGGCTCTGGGGAGGCCTCATTGCAGCCTTTCAAAACTTTCAGAAAGTCTTATAAAAAGGATGGAAAAGGACTCTTTACTTGGGAAGATAATGATAGTACAAGGGGAAATGGTCTTAAACTAAAAGTGGATAGATTTAGATGAAACATTAGGAACACAGTCTTCAGTGTAAGGGTGGTGAGGCCCTGGCACAGGTTGCCCAGAGAAGCTGTGGATGCCCCATCCCTGAAGGTGTTCAAGGCCAGGTTGGATGGCCTTGAACAGACTGGTCCTGTGGAAGGTGTCCCTGCCCATTGGAGCAGGGTTGGAACTAGATGATATTTAAGGTCCCTTCCAATCTAAGCTATTCTATGATGCTATGATATAATTATAACCATGTTTACATCAACTCCAAAGGAAATCATATTCATTTGGAATAAAAATAAGAATTAGGCATATATGTACTTTATTTAAAATATTTTAATATAAGCTAGAGAAAACTTGACATTGACTTTCCCTGATTTCATCTTAAATGTTATCTTGATGATCCTCTTCAAACTTTCTCTCCTTTTTTTTTTCCTCTGAAGCAGTGAATAGCTGTTTTGTTTTGCTTCAAAATGTAAAAGATTCTGAACACATCCAAACAGACAAAGTTGTAGGCTGTCTCACCTACACAAAGAACAGAGGTCACAGCAACATACGTTCTAAAATAATGTTATTATGGAGGAATGTTGCATTTCTACATTAATTAGAAGTTTGATAAACCAAAAACCATGATAATTTGAGATTTTATTTCCCTCTAGGGATGTGTTTCTCTCCAGGGATATTTTAGCTGTTTTCCTATAGAATTTCAAATATTTGAAGCAACTTCCACATTTTTCATAGGAAAAGTGCTTCTGCCCTAATTTTATCTCATTACCATATTTATTATAGGGTGGGCCTGTGCAAACCTCATGAAGTTCAACAAGGCCCAGTGCAAGGACCTGCATCTGGGCCAGCGCAATCCCAAGCACAGACACAGGCTGGGTGGATTGAGAGCAGGCCTTAGGAGACAGGGGTGTTGGCTGATGAGAAGCTCAATGTGAGCCATGTGCTTCCAGCGCAGAAAGCCAACCATATCCTGGGCTGCATCCAAAGAAGCGGGGCCAGCAGGGCCACTTCTTATGCATTGCTGCATAACAGTATGTCATACTGTTATATGTTATGCATGGTATGCATAACAGTACTGTTATACCATCCATAACAGTATGTCATACTAGCTTGCGTATTTTAGGTATTATTGCATGCTTGTACATGGGAAAAAAAAAAAAAACAAAAAAAAAAAACACACAAAACAAAACAGAAGGAATACAAAAGCAGCTGTTCTTTGTCTCACTTGGCTTTGTGTACCTTTTTTTGTTTTGATACCTGGACAACCAGAAAATTTCTCCATCCGTTGGTGTACATGAACAGAAGCCAATTATAAGAGATATTAAATGACCATTTTTAGTGGGGATTGAAGCAAGATTTGTAATACCTAAATACATAAATAGTACCTAAAGCTATTGAAGAAGTAAATATATAAATATGTATTTATGTATATATAACATATGTAAATATATAAATATGTATCCATTGGGGAATATAATTATTGCCAAAATGGTTAAAACATGCTTACCAATTGATCTACTACAGAGTATTAGTATTGTTAGGGTATATTCCACAGCATTTCTAGTGAATCTGACTCACAGGAAAGAGAACTCTTCAAACTACAGCACCAGTCTGGACGCTGCAAAAGATGTTTTTCTTCTGAGCTGCAAAAAATTAGTTATTCTAACATTCTATTATTACTCTAATATTGTTGTGTCCACTGATCAATCCGAAGGCTGTTTTTAAAAACATTATTTTAATCTACTTTTTGTTTATGTAGACGGAAATGTGTGATGTTTCAGGAAAAAAAAAAAAAAAACACAAAAAACTTTTTTTTAAGTTGTAAAAATAAGAGAATGTAGTACAACATTAAACTATGGATGCTACTTACTGATGATGAGCCCAGCATGGATTTTGGAGACCTTATAATTCCAGCTATGGAATGACGTATAGTGTCAAATCTTGAGACTTTGTCTTTCTTGTCCTAGGAGAAAAAGCAGTATCCCTGGTGAAAACCACAAAAATCACTAACAGTTTACCTCTGAGCATTGATACCTGAATTATTGGAGAACATGGAATGCAGACTTACAGATTTTGTTTAAGAGAGTGGCTGAGCCTCTATTAATACTAACCAGCAAAATTGTGTCAGCATCAGTTGCATTAAACTAAAATATACCAGTTTAAGAGCAGACAAATTCCTTAAGTATTTTGTGCAATTATTTTAAATATCACTACTTTTAACTATAAAGAGAACTGACATTCTTTTGTACTCTAAAACAGAGGATGTAATTCTCAGTTCTTCTGAAATTAATGTTTTCTCAAAAAAGCATTGGTTTGAAACCATAAAATAAAAATAAAAAATACAAATAAAAAAATACACACTTGTATTACCCTTGTTTAATGCATGTGTGGGTTTTTTTGTTTGTTTGATTTTTATTTTATTAATGTGTTGTTCTCTAACACATAGGTCCCAAAGGCAGAGGTGGGTGCCACAGGTGCAAGTGTGCCTGGCTGGATGAACTTTTTGAGCAGGTGGCTCTGCTACAAGAGGAACTCACCAGGCAACATAACATCCAGGAATCTGAGTGGGAGATTGATAAATGGTATCATTGGCACTGACATGGACTGAGAAATAGCCTGCCTGAAGTCCTGGCAACGGGAAGGGAAGCAGGGTTCTTGTCTGTCCTCCCAGTTGATGACCGTGACCCAAGAAAAAGGAGATGAACAGAAAGTCAACAACTGGCTGCCACACTCAGGGGGTTGGGGTCTGAGACCTCAGATGCACTTTTGAGAGTCCAGCATGGTGAGGCAAGATGGGGAGCACCAGACCAGGTGGGCAAGAGTGTTCTGGGCAGCAAGCTGGCTGGGTTTGTTAACAGGGCTCTAAACTAGGTGCAGTGGGGGAAGGGGTTGTACCTCGGACTGATGGAAGTGAACCTGAGACACTGTCACTTTAGGAAACAACAGGAAAATACTTGTGAACTGTGCCAAAGTGATTAGGAAGGACTCCTCTGAAAAGGTGATGTGACCGATAGCCTAGCTGAAGAGCCTGTACATCAATGCATGCAGCATGGTAAACAAGCAGGAGGAGTGCAATTAGGAAACTATGACCTGAGTGCTGTCACAGAAACGTGGTGGGACAGATCACACAGCTGGAACACTGGAATAGAGGACTGCAAGACATTCAGAAGAGATGGGCCTGGAAGGAGGGTCAGGGGTGTTGCCCTCTGTGTCAGGAGACTGATTGATTGCAAAGAGATGCCTCTGAGAAACAGTCACGGACAGATTCAAAGCTTGTAGATAAAAGTTAAGGACCAGACCAATAAAGGAAACCTTAGAGTCTGCTACAGGCTGCCTGATCAAGGGGAGCCTGTGGACAAGGCCTTCTTGCTTCAGCTACAGGAAGCGTCGTGCTGAAACGTTCTCATCCTGACGGGGGACTTCAAATGTCTGCTGGGAAAGTAGTACAGCAGGCTGGAAGCAAGGGACAGCGGTCAATGGCTCTGCATCCAGGTGGAGGCCAGTGATGAGTGGTGACCCTCAGAGGTCTGTCTTGGGACCAGTGATGTTTAGTATCTTTATCAGTGACACAGACAGTGGGATCAAGTGCACCCTCAGCAAGTTTGCAGATGACACCAAGCCGAGCAGTGAGGTTGATACAGCAGAAGGAAGGGATGCCATCCAGAGGGACCTGGAAAGGCTGGAGAAGCTGGCCCATGTGAACTGAATGAGATTCAAAAGTCAAAGTGCAGGGTGCTGCAGCTGGGTCTGGACAGCCTCACACACGAGCACAGACTGAAAGAAGAACTCACTGAGAGCAGCCCTGCAGAGAAGGACTTGGGGCTCTGATGGATGAAAAGCTCGGCGTCAGCCAGCAGGGTGTGCTTGCAGCCCAGCAGGCCAACTGCGTCCTGGGCTTCATCACCAGAGGGGTGGGCAGCAGGTGGAGGGAGATGACCGTCCCCCTTGGCTCTGCCCTTGTGAGGCCCCCCCTGGAGTGCTGCGTCCCAGCACAAGAGGGTTGTGGACCTGCAGGTCCCAAGGAGGGCAATGAGGATGGTCAGAGTGCTGGAGCATCTCGCCTGTGAAGAAAGGCTGAGAGAGCTGGGGTGTTCAGCCTGAGGAAGTGAAGGCTCAGGAGGAAACTCATTGCAGCTTTTCAATACATAAAAATGATAGAGAGCAACTTTTTGCTCAGACAGACAGTGACAGGACAAGGGGTAATGGCTTTAGACTAAAAGAGGGTAGATTCAGTTTAGAGATTAGGAGGAAATTTTTCAGAGGGTGGTGAGGCACTGAAACTGCCCAGAGAAGCTGTGGGTGCCCCATCCCTGGAGGTGTTCAAGGCCAGGCTGGCCAAGGTCCTGGGCAACCTGATTGAGTGGGTGGCATCCTGCCTATGGCAGGGGGATTGAAACTAGGCGATTTTCAAGGTCCAAATGAACCCAAGACATCCTATGGTTCTATGATTAGCACACTAATTTCAGTGCAAGTTATGGGATCCATTTGTTTTCTGGCAGTGATGCGAACCACAGGTACAGCCACCAGTGTCTACAAGCGACTGTCTTTGAATTCTGCTAGAACAGAGTTACTCACTACAATTAGGAGACTGAATCAGCCTGCAACCATCTCCAATTCAGTTTCAGTCAACGCAAATACCCCAAAGTAACATGATTATTCTGAACATTGTACATTTCTCCATCTGTTTTATCATCAGCTCTAAATATCACAGAATCTTTCAAAAGAATTTTTACATTGACAGATTAGGTTTATTTCTTATAATTTCATCCTCAGAAACAGTCAAGATTCTTTAATGAACATACGCAAATTCAGTAAACTTTAAGCACAGAGACCGCACATTAGCAGCCTCATTCTAATTAGCTATACATTAACTAAACTATGAGAAACTGACAGTGGGGACAGACTACATCTGTTTGGTAATATTACAAAGAAAGATGGGTTCAAAGTTTTGAACATACACCCTTGACTGAAGAGACTGAAAATCTGTTCAAGTAATAAACACAGTTTCATTTTATTCCAGGAGTTCTGAATAAGCAACAGAATCTGTTAAGTCTGTATAAAAAAAATGTTTGACAATGACTACCAAGTGCAATTTAGTTTACAGGATACAGGTCTGGATAAAATAAATTAATACAAACTGTATAAATACAGGAATTAAATTGGCTACATAAAGAAAAATCTTATTAACAACAGGGGGACACAGGGTCTAATTTTATTTGCATGCCTGCCAGGTATGGAACGATCAACTCGTTTCACACATCTCTTCAGAAGTGAGCCATCAGATTGAATTGTAATTATCTCTCTAACTCCTGATGACAGAAAAATGTAAGTTACCAAATATGGATGAATTCCATTACGTTGCCCCTAAACAAACTCCTAAGTTTTAATTCTGTTTTACACACACAGCATCCTTACCTATTGACATCAAACTACAGGTAAGGGTCTATATTCAATACTTTCTCCTTACCAAAAAGGGTTTTTAATATTTATTTTTTTTTATCTGATTAGAAGTACCCATGACTCATGGACTGGGCCCCACTAGAGGACTTCGATAAGCATCACCCAAAAGATACATAGAGCATAACAGTCACATCAAACAGCATGAGCACTAAAAACACAGATTGAAGGCATAAAATCTGCCTCTGTTCACACTGCAGTATTATAAACAGTTTTTAATACTTCCATAGCACATTCCCTCTGAAATACTAAAACTATTCTGTATCTTAAAGGAATGAAGATTTAATTTGTTAGCATAGCACACATTATCAAACACATGGCAAACACAACTATATCCTCTACTGAGTTTATTTAATCCTTTTAAGTATTTTTAAGGCAACCTGAATAGAACTGTAGAACAGCAACAGCTCTCTCTCTCTCTCTGTCATTGCCCAGCTGCAGAACAGTGTAGAAGGACCCATTAGATCTTGCAGGAAATCAGTTTTCACTGTGAAAAACTGATATTCACCAGTGCTGCCAAACCAACCCCTTAACCTTTTTTTTCTTTTTTTTAATGTATACTGCCTTACTGGTTGAGACGCGGTGTTAAACTCTGCTTTCCAAACAAAAAGTTAACTCGCACCAAAGTTGATCTTCCCTTGGTTATCTTCACCCTATCCACAACAAATTTTGAATCTCTTGGCCAAGGCTCTCTGAATTTAGTAAAGGATTTTGCAAATGAAAGGATTATTTCAGGACATTAGGTTATTTAAAATTTCTGAGGAAAGCCAACAGAGAGCAGAGACCCTCTGTGTCCCCAGAAAGAAAAGTTTGTTTTATTTCCACACAGTATGCACTCCAATGAACACCGGACATCCAACCAACCGGAACAACCATGATGGCACATATGCTTCAGATACAGTTACAGTACACATTACTGCTATTTGACAAACAGACATGAGAAGGACAGTGGGAAGAAATTAGGAATTTGGCACCAGAAACGCTGTAAAAAGCAATATGGAGTATATTACACTTGCTAGTATACACAGTACAGCTAATATAATGTATTAACTGATTCAGTTTCATTTTAGCTTGAATGAATTACTCTCTGAGATAATAGGAAAATGGTAGCATGATTTGTCACTGCCTTTATTTTTGCACCAGACCAATTCCATTAAATAGAAAACTAATCCCTGGGCCATAATATTTTATGCAAAGCCTGAATTACTGCAGAATAAATTATAGTTTACCATGAAAAAGTCAGGTAAGTATGAAAATAAATACTGTCATTACAGAGCTTTTTTAACATATTTCTTTGGCTGTGTTTAAATGTACCTGTGCCCCAAGAGCATATCGCAAAAGGAATTATGAAAAATGCATCTCCCTTTTTGGAATAGCCACATTTCTAATAACCCTCCAGAATGAATCAGTATAAGTCACTACCAGACTTGGGACTGTCACTTGGAGCATGTCATAAATCTTGTACTCTCCGGACAGGTACACATTGAAACTCCTTCTACTTACCCT